GTGAAATTGCCTTAATTTGATTTTTCTTTGTATAGTCTTTGCAAAAATGTTTTTTAAAAGAACAATAAAATATCAAATGTTGTAGGCTTTAATTGGGTGACACAAGTCATTGTGGTTCCAAGATTTTTTTTTAAAGGGTAATGTCTCATATTGTTGTGTTTCTTTGTCATTTTGTCTCATGTTAGGGGCCACTAAGACCACCAGTGCTGAAGAGAAATCTGTTAGTGTATACCATTCAGCCCAGGTAGTATATTTTTTCATAAATTTTGAAAATAAGTTTTAAAGTAAAACTGTTGTCAATGCATTATATTGTTCTGATCCTCAAGGTTTCGTCTTAAACATTTGTCGAAGACTCCTCGTAATTCTGTCAGCGTTTAAAGAAAATAAAATGGCTGGTCTTTTTAACACGACAGGGACAAGACTTACCATTAACATGAAATAAAATATTTCAAGAAAATGCCACAACCCGATATAAAATTCGGGTGATTTATGTATTAAAGGTTAAGGGCATCATATGACTAGTACTCTACTGTTATACCGTTACCATGTTGACCGGCATTCTTTTCTCCGTCAAGTCCATTTTACTTTGTAGAAATAATTATATACAACTGCAAGTGTATTACTTGACCACATTAAAGGATCCACATCTTAATAGCAAAATAGAAAAATGATGTTAAAGCTATATAACTTCGTAATACCTCTACCGTAAAAAAAACCGGTCCACATACATTTCAATTAGAAGACACCCTTCTTAGGATCTGTATTGTTATAAACGGAATGATTCTAATATTATGATAATTATACTATAAGATGAGGTACCTTACTAATTGTACCTTCACTGTGAATAGGCTTTATGTTTCGGAACTGATAACGAATTATGTGAATAGATTTTCTTCTGTTGAATGAAAACGAGAGTTCTTAAAACACCTCGTGGACACTGTCAAAATACACACATATGCATTTTTCCGATGCATGTTCTTTTTTCGAGTTCATTATAAAAATACATAGGTATTTTTATTACGAATATTGTTACTTTTCATTTATTTTTCCTATCAGCATGTCCCCCCCCCCTTTTTTTTAAAGTTTAGTTTACCCCCACTTTAAAAACACAAAATTTATAGCACAATCCTTTTAAGAAAATTAATGTTTGTTTGGTATCATGGTATATACTGTCGTTTGTAAACAGTGGTAAGAGGTATCTTCAGAATATGTTTTGATTCAGAAGAAATACAAATGGATTTACATCGACTATAACAAATTGTGACAAATCGAAATCAAAAACCATTAGAAGAACTATATCTGATCTTTGTTTATGACATAGAACATAGAACGTGAAGTTCAACATAAAATTTATGTAATCATTATTCTTTATTTCACTAATGTTTGCCTTACATAATGCACACGTGAAAGTGTTCTTTTTAAAGGGGGAAACAAACAATAAAATTAATCATAAGCACGTCCGTCACTTTGGATTTAATGCACCAAGGGAAATATCTTCATGTTTAAAAGATCCGTTAATATGTATAATACATGTGTACCATATGATAAATACGCACTGGTCAGGTATCTGACGCTTTTGGTCAAACTATTGAATATTCATGATAAATTTACTTTGAAGCGTCCAAAGAGAGAGAAGAGAACCAGAAAGGTAACCATGGTAACAGTAGTATCTATGTTCGCTAGATGTAGATTTTTTTTTGAAAAAATGTCTTTTAAAAAGAGCGCTGGCTGAATAATGAAAACAAAAAGTTTATGGCTATCACGGTAATGGCTTGTCTTAAATTGATTTGAATGTTGATATAATTTTCATTGAATAATTTAATCTGGATGTTGTGATTAAATAATTTAATTAATTCAAATGTTGTTATGTTCAAGTTTTGTCAATGAATATAATTGTATTTCATGCTACTGAACTCACAAATCCCCAGTAACCACTGCTTTTCTACCTGCAAATTATGCAAATTTCCCCTTGATTTTCAGTTTGATACCCCTAGAATCAGTTTGATAACCCTATGGCCCTGAGCTTTATGCTTAACTCTGTTTCTAAAAAATGTATCGACATTTATTTTTGTTTATGTCCACAGTTTGTTCTTCTTGCAAAACCCTACCGAAATGTAACTAACATTTCTAATCCTGCTAAAGAAAATTTGCTTTACTTAACCAAACTTGACAAAGTTGCTATTTAAAGTATGTATCAAATATCTCCCATTTAAACAACAAATAGCTTTAATTACTGTATCAGTATCTGCACGTAAGTTGTTAATAAAGTCAGCGATCGCACCGTTTAAAAAAAATAACTTGCGTATTTTTTATTTTATTTACTGTTTTTTTCATGACAAAGCTGCTTGCTAGAATTTGAACTGAGTTCTAAAATTTAAAAAAATGCACGAACCTAAAAAGGTACACACACACACACAAACCCGTTTGCTTATATATCACCAACTAAGGAAACCACCATTTGTTTGAAAAAAGAAAATCACCAAATCGCACATTTATAGCGTAAAGTCCATATATTATTTACCACTTTTTTTTTCTTTGGAATTGAATAGATTTCCATGTTCACTTAAAGATAAACTCCAGTACTGGTAAAAAAAAAAAAAAAATTCTCACAGAATATACGAAACTTACACTGAATGTTCAAGATTACAAATAAATGACATGTGCCAAACAATTTTGGAAGAAAATGTATACTGGCTGAGTAATGAGCATAGAAAGACAAGGAAATCAAGTTAGTACTAGCCCCGACACCATGTGTGTTGTCCCATATATAGCTTTCTATGTGAGTGCTTGTTACTTTACCAAGACTCGGTCAAATTTATTATGATTATGATGACTCCAGAACCTTGCAGTGCACACCAATACTTTCATGCTACATGATCAACTGTTTCTGATCCTTTCCACACCTTTTCTTTCACAATGCAATCGCATTACCAGTACTAACGTTTATCTTTAAGAATAAAATTTTAGTTGCTACAGTGACATAGCCAATTATAACCCGTTTCATCCAAATTGACATTCATGTTGATCAAAATGAGTATTTTAAAAAGTACCATCTTTCTCTAATATGCTGGTAGGTAAACAAAATCACTCGTGCAATATTACAAAGAAGGCTTCAAAGCTGCTGTTCCCCAAAAAGCTGAATTAGATCACATCTCTTTTTACCATGATGACATAGTGCCTTTAATATAATTTATTCATGCAGCCCAGCTAAAGCCGGCATAATAACAATTGTTACTATTATTAATGTTATTATAATTATGATAATAATTTGTATTATGATTATTATTTTTATTATGATTACTATTTGTATTGGTAATATTTTATTCATTATTATATTGTTGTTGTTGTTGTAAGTATCATCATCACCATCGTCATTATTGTTAATATTCAGATTTTAACTTGGAGATTATTACCCTGGCTTTAGCTGTGGTGCTATTACGGCGCTCTAGCATTTCAAAGAATTAATTCCTGCCAGGTACCCATTTACATCACCTGGGTTGAGGTACACAACTGTAGGCAAATGTAGATCAATGTCTTGCCCAAGGACATTAGTGCCGCGGCGGGTCTCGAACCGTGATCGACAGTCCGGTGACTTAACCACTCGACCACGGCACCTCTATTATTATTAATATTATTATTTTCATTATTATTATTATTATCATTATTATTATGATTATTATTATTAATATCGTTATTATAATCATTATTGTTATTAGTATTAGTATTATTATTATCATAATTATCATGTTACCTCCTTATTATCTTACCTCCTTTCCTTCCTAGAATCTATCTGGTAAGGGGGACGTGAATCCAGAGTCTAAGACCAAAGACCAGCCTAAGAAGACCAACTCTGAGTTCTCTCTGCCGGGTCAGATCGATGACCCCCTTGATGAGGCTCAGACCAGCACCATACGACAGGTGAATCTCGCACTTACATCTCCTCTTGATTTGGGTGGTGATGATGATGATGATGATTCGAACGATGAGGGGGCACGTGCAATCTTTGATTGACACGATAAGTGCCTAGTAGGTAGGCTCATCAATTAATTCGGCCAAATTGAATTAATTCCTTGTTTCTCGTCCCCTCCAACATTATTACCATTATTTTTATTATTATTATCATAATCATAATCATTGTTATTAATGTCAATAGATAATGATCTCAGGATATCTACCCAATGACGTAACAAATAATTGTGATTCTTTTTTAGGGGGGATTTTTTTTTTGGCTAAAAATTGACCAAGTAGCATTTTTATGTACAAAAACAATTTGAAGACAAAATTCCGGACGGGAAACAAGGAATCACTTTTACATGGTCCAACATGTCCCTTTTTCTTTCGTAAAGTATACACTTAAAAATAAGATGTTAAATCAACATTAGAAAATGGCTGAAGAGTGACAACATATTCAACAAATATTTAACCTTTATACTGTTGGATACACCGTGTTGAAATTGTTAATCTACTATTTTGAAAATACAGTTTAGCTCAGGGAAACCACCTGAATGGTACTAATGGCATTGTAAATTGTCATAGTAGTGGAACTTTGAGACGATACGTAGTCCCTACCTACATGATAACGAAACTTATAATCATGCATGGATGTTTTGAAAATAAATACTAAAATTTCGGTCTTACTGTCCATTCAATATCAGGCATGTTACGCCTTTTCAAATAAACAAGAATGTACTTTACTTTTCTTTACTTTACTCTCGTCGAACTTCCGATTTGTCGTGATATGAGGTACAGGGGTCCTATGTCATAATAGTTGTTATCAATAACAAATGATAATTTTCTATGGCAAATTTGCTCTCAGCCAATCAAATGCCCCGATTTCAGTAGCTTACAACAGCTTTTGTATCTTGTTATCTTGTACCCAGTAGTTGATACCTGACATTGCATTCCAGAATCTTTTGCTATATTTGAATATTTTATTTATTGACTACTACCATATAGAAATCGTTTGACCTATGACCTTTAATGCTCTGACACATGTCAAAGTTGATCCTTATTGTGTGCATCTCTCTTTTGCAGAAATGAGACCAGGATGGCGGCGTTTATGTCATTTTTGTTCAATCGGTGATTGTCTCCCTGTGTATTACAGATCAAACGAGAATTCTAGTAACGTGAAATATTTATATTACCCAATTCAAAAAAAGCCTAATGGTGCTGCAGTTTTAGAAGAGTTATCATAACTTTACTGCCAGTCTTTGTTGATGTATTTTTCTTCACTCTAAATTTCCTACAAGGATCGGTAACAAAATTATTTAATGAAAAAAACACGAAATTACGTCCAAAAACATGATGAAAAGATATAAAATAAACCTAACATAATTTCAAGACAAAAATGTAAACACATGACTAGATTTTCCATGCGATCTGTTCTTTGTTATAAGTTCTTTATGTGTTTCAGTCTTATGCGTGCTAGAGAGTAGGTGAAATTTTTGTTTGAGTGATTTTTCCTTCTAAACGCACGTTGCTTGCAAATTACTGAAATCTGATGCATATATATGTAAAGCATGCCAAGCATGACCTTAATACGATTGTTAATGTTGGCATGCCACTATTCAAAATATATAGTGAGTACCCCCTTTTCACACCGTACTTATTTACTTGAATGGGGGTGCTAGGGGTTTCAGTCATTGTATATCCACTTTGTCTGTCAATCTAGTTCAAACCATCACATGAATTTGAAGTTGGAATTGTAAGTTGTTACATATCTACCTCTCACTAGAAGACTGTAGAATATATATATATATATGCCATTGTGCGCACTTCACTGCTGTGCAATATATCCATATGTAAATGGTAACACGCTAAATGCATTGTTATAATCTTCATTACTCTTCCCAACGTAGTATAGTTAGAATTGAATTGAAGTTAATTTAATTTAATTTTGAAGTTATTAACAACAACACATCGCAATAATGGCGGTATGAACAATCATACCATACAAAGTATAATGATAATTCATGAATACGTGATTGAAAAGTAATGGCTTTAAATGATGAGACATAGATCTATATACCAAATTTTTTTTGGACACAAAACTGGTTATCTAGTTACTTACGTGATTGGCAAAACAATTTACCAGTTGGTTAACTAAAACACAGGAGAATAAACGGTTACCTTTTTATACTTAGTATCTGTTCCCTAACTGCCACACAGGGATTAACCAGACTATTTAGGGAATAGCGTATTCTCATCTTATGCCCAGTACCAGTTACATATTATCTTACACAAAGGAACCAACTAGTTACCTGTCTTACACCTAGGGGATTATCTATTTTCTTGTCTTACATTTAAGGGATTAAAACTGACATATTGTATACGCAGGTAATCAAGTAGTTACTTATCTTACATCTAGGGAATTAACCAGTTACCCCCTTTTCACCGTAGGAATTAATCAATTACCTGTCTTACTACCATTCGGGGATTACCCACGTACCTATATTACACATGTAGTGGATTAACCAGCTACCTATCTTACATCAAGGAGACCAACTAGTTACATATCCTACACTCAGGGGATTAACCTATTACCTGTCTAACACTCAGGGGATAAACCAGTTACATATCTTACAGCCAGGAGATTAACCAGTTACATATCTTACTCTCAGTGGATCATACTTTTACTTGTCTTACACCCAGGGCATCAATCTTTTAACTGTCTTACACCAAGGGGATTATTGACCAGTTACCTGTAACATAACTTGGGTTTTAACCGTGTCTTATCTTACACCTTAAGGAAGAAACAGTTCTTATCTTCAACACTGTACCAGTAACCTGTCTTTACACCCAAGAGATTAACCAGTTAACCTATGACATTAACATGTTACACGCCTTACAAGTTCGGTATTACCCAGGTACCTGTCTTATACTTAGGGGGATTGACTAGTCTCTCATAACACACATGAGTTAGTTATCTTACACACATGAGTTACTTATCTTACACACATGAGTTACTTATCTTACACACATGAGTTACTTATCTTACACACAGGAGTTACTTATCTTACATACAGGAGTTACTTATCTTACACACAGGAATTACTTATCTTACATACAGGAGTTACATATACACACAGGAGTTACTTATCTTACACACAGGAGTTACTTATCTTACACACAGGAGTTGCTTATCTTACACACATGAGTTACTTATCTTACACACAGGAGTTACTTATCTTACACACAGGAGTTACATATACACACAGGAGTTACTTATCTTACACACAGGAGTTACTTATCTTACACACAGGAGTTACATATATACACAGGAGTTACTTATCTTACACACAAGAGTTACTTGTCTATACACACAAGAGTTACTTATGTTACACACAGGAGAATAACCAGTTAACTATGTAAACCTAAGGGATTTACTAGTGTCCTGTCTTATATTTAGGCGATTAACGGGTTACCAGTCATAAACCTAGGGGATTAAACAGTAAAATATTTTACCCCAAAAAAATTAACCGGCTGACTATCTCGTTTTCAAACAGGAGATAAAGACTGAGCGAGAGATGGAACAAGGAGGCTGGAAGATCAACGAGAAGAAGCATGTCCAGCGAACCTTTGTTCGTGTCGAAGACACCCAGTAATCAAACACAGCATCTACACTTGAAGTGCTATACTACACTCAAAGTGTTGTATTCTTACACCCTGCACTTTACATAGATTTGCCTCTATTGAGAGTATAGTGAATGTTAACACCATGGATAAGCAGGTATATTTAATGCACATTTCAGTGTAAAGCAGGTTCAACACCATAAAGGGTAAACAATGTTGAATTTTAGCACTTTTCAGTGTACACATTAGGTTTTAACACCATAAGAGCTCAATAATGTTGATTGTTTTTTCTTAATTATGGTTAAGTGTGAAGTGAGTTATAACTCCAGAAAAGGAAAACAGTGTTAATTTTAAGCACTATTCGATGTAAAGTAAATATTGTACAGCACAGAAATATTGATGTTATGCACCATTCATTGTCGAGTGACTTTAATTTTAAAAAGCATAAACTAAACAACCGAGTAGTTTTAACATCTTAGTTATGAATTTAAAAATGTGTATAGTTGTTTTTGTGTAGGCTGAACATGGTTCAAGGTAAACACTGATAATAACAATAATAAAATTAACTCAATAAATAAGAAAATGTGATAACTCTTTATAATCATAGCTTATGGTAAAGGGCAACAAGTAAACAGTTAAAGTCTAACAAACCGTTCACTATTCAGAGTTAACTTGTTTAAGATAAGACTTGTTTATTAAATACGGTACATGAACTATGTCTTGAACACGGTTTAGCGTAATGTACAATTCAATCCAATGTAGTATTTAAATGTGTTCATTGTGAACTTGGCTGTTTATTTTAAAAAAATCTTTGAAAACTTTAAAGGAAGGTGTTCGTATTTGCAGGATAAAGATGTGGCCACTAGGACAGGTTTGACTGTATGTGATTGTAAAGAGCCCGTCTTACGGGATTCCTCTCACTTGCACTTTACTTAAGATTTCGATAAAATACCGGAGGAGATGAATTGCGTAAATTTTAAATATATCTTTTAACACTAGATATGGGGAGATTACAATGAAATTTGTCGAATCCCGATTGTAAATATGTGTAACATAAAATCTTTATATGTGTATTCAATTTCAAGGTCCATCCAGGGGCGTCGCTGGGAGATGCCGGGGTTGCAACTTACAACCTCATTGCCACCAAAATGTTATGTGGTTGAGTCTAAAACTGTGAGAGTCAAATTTAAAAGTAAAACCATTCTTTTAAAAGGGGATTGCCGGGAAATAAATTGCAATAACTCTTTTTGTTTTTGAAAATCTAAAGACCTATCTTGTTAATCGAATGATAGTTTTTTTTGTATTGCTTCTCATTTGTTTGAAAAATATTTTGGTAATATGTGATCTTTCACTCACCCCCCCCCCCCCCCCCCCAACACCACCGCTATGGTCTTGCAATGCCCCTGGATGTATGTTTTTTATGGGTTGTATTTCTTATGGCACGATACTATTATTGATTATTTATATTTTAGTTTACATCACGTGATTCAAGTATCGTAAACGAACGATATCACACGTCAAGTGAAAATTGCTATATCTTTTAGTAAAGTCGAACGATTATTTCGTTATGAATGTAAACCGCACTACCTTAAAGTTAAGAAATACTTACTTTCGCATAAAATTACCGTAGCACGTAGATCGCTTAGTAAGTGACTGAATGTTTTCCTTTATATTTAATCAATATATGAAATTAATTAGAAGAATATTAATCAATGTAAGGGACTGAAATGTTTCCATTATATTTAGTAAATATGTTAAATGAAGTAGTAGAATTGTTTTGGGGATATTAATATTCTATTGTCTTTCAGCAAGGTTTTTCATGTACCAAGCGCTTTCATGTACCAAGCGCTTTCTTGTTGTATTAATATAAAATTATTCTAGAATTAATTATGCTTATTGAGGATGATGATAACCATATTTGAATTTAGTAATGCGTGATTTATTGATTGATAACAACGTACCAGAAGTGAATTTATTCTCTGAAGTTTAAAGATTACATGTTTATATCTTTTAATCCGTACATTTATTAACTGTCTCATGATTGCTTATTTTGATCAACCTGACAATTTATCTCTAATATACTTCAGCTGTATCGTTCGGGTGGAAAAATACGTCATACTCATTTAGGCATTATTTTCAAGAACAACTAAATTAATATGAATCATTCTTATGATGTAAATTTATCAGATTTTACTCCAATTATGTATATATATATACAAATGATCTTTTATTTGGATATGGGAAATCTAATTTTCTAGATATGTTGGTGTCGTTAAGTGTGATTATGTAAGCTTGCCTATAGTGCGCTTTCATTTTCTATTTTCTTTGTAATGATAAAAAAAATACTTTCCTGCTTAATTGACCATTAATCAACAGTTTAAACGACTTTGAGTTTACCAAAATAAATCAACTCGTGAATGCAATGTCTTTCACATGCCAGATTCTTTGATTTAAAATAAATATTATGAACGCATGAAAGTAAACACTGCAAGGTTTACATGAGACATCGACCAGTAAGCATGATGGTAACATTTTTAGGCGGGATTTTCTGGAGAGTATACCCAAATACATTTTTTCTGCCTCCTTAAAGTGACTAGGTAACATTGTTGAAGGTTAATTTAAAACTGCTTAATTTGTGTATGAAATGTTACTAATGATATACCTTCTACTGTACTAACCACCTAACATGCAACAAATCAATTCTCAAACCACAAAGATATGTATGGTTTTCTTTGAAGACAGCACTGTGCAACACCTTTAACAGTACAATTCTCCCAACCATTTTTGAAATTTTCTTAACCATTTCCCATAAAAAATAAGGCACAAGACAAGCTTTTAAAAATCTTTCAACACTTAAATGTCTGGAATGGTATATAGAGCTTTGAATTGATTTACATTCACCTTAAATGTAATGCAATTGTAATAATATAGTTGAGAGAATTAAGGAATCGATCAGATAAGTTTTCCCCAATTTTTATCATTGATAATGGTTTGTTTTCACTCAAACTTTCAGATTATCTTTAATTGCATCTAGCATTGAAGTCACTACCTTAGCACCATTATCTCTCATCTGAACAATGCTACCAAGTCCCTTTAATATTGTATTCCCAGTTGAACAATCAAAGGATATATGTCAAACAAACGGCACGTTTATGATGAATGTAATCTTCTAAAGTTTCTTGATTCTCATTATACAAAAATATTGATTTATTAAATACCCCTTAAATTTATCGTTTGGCCTTCAATCAATCAAAACTTTACAAAAAATAGTAACTTTAATCGTTATCTTAGTTATAGATACAATTCACAGTAACAATCCAATTAATTGCAGCTAGACTGGAGATACAATAACATTTTTACAAATGGTTGTATGTCGATTTTAATGCTTCAGGCCCCTAAAACATTCATCAGTGAGAATTAAGACTTCTATAGCCATTAATTGGTGATCTATACTATTGTTACGTTGTCTTAAATCAGTATATTGCTTATCACCTTGAATTTCTGAGAGTACGCTCTTTTTCGAGAAATAAACTGTTGCTATATTTCACATGATAATTCTTGACGTGTATTTATTATGTTTTGTACAACATCATGCAGGTTAAAACATGGACCCCGAAGTATGCCTTCGGGCTAGTCTCACATACAAACTTAAACATGACGAGTGAGCAAATTTTACTTATTCAGGTCATGAAAGTACTTACAGATGAAGTTGAGTTCTGGTCGTGCGGATGCGATTGCATTGTGAAAGAAACGTTGTGGAATCGACCAGAAAAGGTTGATCATCTAGCATATAAGAATTTGTGTGTATTGCAAGGTTCTGAAATTTGGCCAAGTCTTGGTAAAGTTACAAACACTGTACACAGAAAGATGTATATGGGACTACACGAACACATGGTGTAAAGATCCTACCCTGGGTTTTTACGATGTTACATGACATATTTAGAATATGACGGCATTTGAAGAGCCATGCTTTTCAGGGAACATGTTTTATCTGATGTTCTTCCACACTTGCATAATAAGAATGATAATGCTCACAGACTATTTTTCACCTCTCCTAGAACTCAACCTTCTCTTTAATGAACTTCAAAAAGTTGCTTTGCTTTTTGACCTTACATCAACCGAGGTGTCAGAACTTGGGACACTGGGGGTTTAAGAATCCTGCAATGGTGGATCCAGGATTATCTGGTAGATGGACGAGACAAGTCAACAACAAGCCACAACAACAACAAAACAAAAAACAAAAGAGGGGAAAAGAAACGGCCACTGGTTTGATTGATGTGCCGTCTTTGTTATATAATGCTCGGACATTAAAAACATTGGTGTCAGTCCATTATTTATTTTATTTTCTTCTCCCTTTCCCCTTCTTTTTTGTTGAAGGGGGTGGTAGGGGGCTGCCCCTTGATCCGCAACTGTCATGACACCAATGGCCGACAACCCCTTTTTACATAACATGATTAGGATGTGTTAAGGAGAGATGAAGTTGAAGGGAAACTAAGCCCTGTTTCATGAATCTATTTATCACGAACAAGTTACAACTGTTATAAGCTACTGAAACTATTACGTTTGACTGGCTGTTGGCAATTTTTAAAATAAAAATGGCAGTTGTTATTGATGATAATTTGCTATGAAGCAGGGCCCTGATAATTTTGTGAGCTCATGAGATTTATTAGGCACTTGCAACCTTAAGGAGACTTGAACAATCTTAAATTGAGAAAAGATAAAGAGGAAGAGGAGGAGAAGAGTACTCTGAATGTACAATTTGCAGGAAATATTAGAAAAGACAGGAATGGAAGACCAAATGACATGATTTTCCGGGATATTTTTCTCACTTTTTTGTAAAATATACTTTTTTACGAGTTTGTTTAAAAATGACATTCCCAAATTTACAGTCGGGCTAAAAAAATTGCTTCTTTAGAAGCCTGGATGTTAGGGCCCGCGGAACTGCGGGGCTCGACCCCTAAACATAAACAAAAAGAAAGAAAGAATAGTGACCTGCCAGTGTCACAAATGAGGTATCAAAACTATGCTCATTTGACCGTACACTCTTAGAAAAAAGGGTGCAAAATAAAGAGTTTGCACCCTTTACATAAAAATGAACCCTATTGAAGGAAAGGGGGTCAAAAAGGGTGCATTATAAGATTGTGCACCCTTCCCACAAACAAAAATGAACCCTATCGACCAAAAAAGGGTGCAAAATAAAAGTTTGCATATTGCATGCATATTCATGATTACTTCCCACGTGTTCACATAAAAATACATTTATCATGATTTGTTAGCAAATTATGACAGTGAACATCAATTTTGTGATTTGCATTTTCCTTTGGCAATCATTAACCAATAGATTATTTTGTCTGATCATGTTACAATTACATTCACGTTTGAGCAATAGATATATTGATTATATGATTACTAACCAAGAAACATCATGCATGTTTAATATGTATTTGTGTACGAGCAAATTTTACCAGTATTCCTCGATGATGGGTACAGGTTCGCACCTTTTAAAGGGTGCAGGATTGAACCCCTAAAGCTGCTGCTATTGCATCGGTTTGCACCCATAATGGAGCAGGATTGAACCATTAAGGGTACTAACATGTCTCCTAAAAGGTGCAATCTGGCACCCTTTTAAAGGGTGCAGGATTGCACCTTTAAAAAGGGTGCAGGATTTAACCCCTAAAGGTGCTGCTATTGTTGCATCGGTTTGCACCCCTAAAGGGGGGGGGGGGGGGGGTGTGATTTTTCAAATTTTCGAGGGCCAAAACAAAAAATAGTGCTCACTTACCCCCCCCCCTCCCCCACGCTCCCATATCCTTGCCCCCCCCCCCCCCCAAAAAAAAAAAATAAAATAAAATAAAATAAAATAAATAAATAAATAAATAAATAAATAAATAAAAAAAAAAAAAAAAATTAAAAAAAAAAAAAAAATATATATATATATATATATATATATATTTGGCGGGACTCTGATATCATTGTGCAGCCCCCCCCCCCATATTTTGGTTGGGCTCATATATCATCAGCCCCCCCCCCCCTCCCCAAATTGTTTTTGGTGGGGCTCGGATAACATCACAGAAGCCAGCGCTATTTTGGGGGGCTCGGATATCATTGAGCCCCCCCCCCCCCCCCACCAAAAAAAAAAAAAAAAAAAAGAAAAAAAAAAAAATCTACAACTACAATACTTGTATTTTCTCGAAGTTTCACTTTCCTATGATATCAGCTAAAGAAATCAGAGGTTTAAAATTTTCGGGAAAACTAAATTCAGATAAGGATTGAGAGTCAAGAACAGTAAAACGAATCGTCTGCATTCTCTCATAATTTAAGGAAGCGTCAAAGCTTCCGCGCTTCGCCCGTGAGGGGGGGGGGGGAATGAATTCAGACAATTAGGGTTAAGGGTCGCGAACGGTACGAGTCGTCTTCTTGCTATAATAATTTAATTAAACGTCAAAGCTTCGGCGCTTCGCTCGGAAAGGGGGAAAATGAAATCAGACAAGGATTAAAAGTTGTGAACGGTACAACGAATCGTCTTCTTTATCTAATGATTTTAGGAAACGCCTAAGCTTTCGCGCTTTGCGCGGGAGTGGGGAAACTGAATTCAGACAAGGATTAAAGCCCCTTTCACACCGGATCTGCGTAGAGTTGCGTAGTGTTGCGTACCGACTTCGCCGAAGTTAAGCTGCGTACTCATGAATAAATTGATGCTTCGGCGTAGTCCCTGCGTAGGTTATGCGTAGGCTTGCGTATGATGGCGTATAGTTACGGACCCTGTGCGTAGGCACCGCGTACCTTCGGTGTAGGCAATTGGCGTAGGGTTACGTACGCTTGCGTAGGCCTGGCGTAGGGTTACGTACGCTTGCGTAAGCCTGGCGTAGGGTTGCTTACGGTTGCGTACGGTTGCTTACTGTGTGCGAAAATGCCATGTAAAAATGCAATAGACGCTCGTAGGAGCCGCGACTATAGCCATTGGCGCTTTATAAACATATATAATAAAAAATATGTTAAAAAGACAGTTCAATTTATTGTATAAATGAACAGTGCAGTGTACAAAGAATTGTACATGTTATTACATGTGAACATAACTTGATCTTAGTATAATAATAACATTCTGACAACTGTGACATCCAAGGGGTCTCTTTTGCATGCGTGAAATAGGGCTGAAACGCCAATTTGCGTAAAATAGTGAGTGCAGAAAATAACATTTATAAACCTGCCATAAGTTTTAATAGTAAAAAGTGGCATTTGGTACACGTTTTTGACCGTTAAATTTTCAGTTTTTTTAGTAGGTATTAGCAACTGCTGAGGTTATTTTGCAGTAATGTTAATTTGTTCAAGATTTTATTTTCCAAAAAATGCAGACATTTTTGTTGATGTGCTACATTATTGTACTATGTATCATTCAAAAGGGTAATATATGAACTTTCTTTTGATGAACATTGCAAGGTCACGTGAAGTGATTTGATACCTTAAAACGCCAACAAAAGAGAGCGCTTATTTTGATTTGTGAATAAATGTGGACAGAAGTCTGATATTTGTTGACCATATCCCTTTTTTTCACTCATTTGTAAAATATCATTACATAACAGTTTCCTGAAAGTTTGAAGACGAAATCTGTTGTCCTTGGTCCGTAGCGTATTTGTGTGTGACAATTTAATGATATAAATGTTAGTCATTTATTAGATTTAAAGAAATACTTCTGACATACACACTCACTCAGTCTCACTAACAGAGTGAGACAAAATTATTTCTTTGCTCATTTCAATTAAACAAAATTATATTACAAACATACAAACAGGACCACAAACGTACACACAAGCAAACAAACCGACACGAATACATACAGATTTCCACAAAACATAATAAAATTTTCGCATGAGGCATCAGTTTCTGACATACACACTCACTCAGTCTCACTAACAGAGTGAGACAAAATTATTTCTTTGCTCATTTCAATTAAACAAAATTATATTACAAACATACAAACAGGACCACAAACGTACACACAAGCAAACAAACCGACACGAATACATACAGATTTCCACAAAACATAATAAAATTTTCGCATGAGGCATCAGTTTATGAATCTTATCTCTGTTTATTATATCAACAGCCTGAGATGTCAATTATCACAAATTGAATAAACCATAACAAAACAAAACATGTCAGTCTGAAATACGTTGTAGTAGTACAAACAGAATAAAAAGCAAGAATGATCAATGATCAATACCTGCCAAGCTTACCTCCAGGTATATACCAAAAAAAAATGTTATACCATACGTTTTTAATGCTTCGTCGGACTGGCGTAGGGTAGCGTATTGTTGCGTAGGCTTGGCGTACATTTGCGTAGGCTTGGCGTACAGTTGCGTAGGCTTGGCGTACAGTTGCGTAGGCTTGGCGTACACTTGCGTAGTAAAGTCTACGCCGAAGGTACGCGAAAAAAACTAAACATGTTTCATTTTTTGCGTTCATCTCGCGTACCCATTCGCGTCCCTCCGCGTACAGTTGTGTAGGGTTGCGTACGATCGGCGTAGTCGCTACGCAACTCTACGCAACTCTACGCAAGGCCCGGTGTGAAAGCCCCTTAAGAGTTGAGTACGGTACAACGAATCGTCTTCTTACTGTAATAATTTAAGGAAACGTCTAAGCTTTTGCGCTTCGCGGGAGGAGGTGGGGGAACTGAATTCAGAGAAGGATTAAGAGTCGAGAACAGTAGAACGAATCGTCTGCTTTCTCTAATATTCTAAGGAAACGTCAAAGCTTCCGCGCTCTGCGCGAAAGGAGGAAACTGAATTTAGACAATAAATTAGGGCAAGAGTCGAGAACGATACAACGAAACGTCTAAGCTTAGACGTTTCATTAAATTATTAAAGAAAGAAGACGATTCGTTATACTCTTTCGATTCTTAATCCTTGTCTGAATTCAGTTCAACCCCCCCCTCCCCCTTCCCGCGCGAACCAAGGAAGCTTTGCTTTAAATTAATAGAGAAAGAAGACGACTCGTTGTACTATTTTCGACTCTTGATCCTTGTCTGATCATTCGGTTGCCCTCCTCCCGCGTGAAGCGCGGAAGCTCTGAAGTTTCATTAAATTATTAGAGGAAGAAGACGATTCGTAGTTCTGTTTTCGATTTTTATTTTTTAAGTTCGCAGTCGAACTTAGGCTGTGTTTGATACCAAGTACCTTCATATCAAATTTCATTAAAATCCGTCAAACATTACTAAAGTTATCGAACGGGAACCACATTCGCATATTTAATGAGCCATGACCTTTGACCTACATACTCCGAAATCGAACTTAAGCTGTGTTTGATGCCATGTACCTTCATTTCGAATTTCATTAAATGGAAACCAGATTTGTTACGAACGGAAGGACGGACGGCAGCGTTACTATAATCATAAATTTATCATCACAAGCATGATGATATTCAATGGGAGTCATGGAGAGACATGCAGAGAGAGGGGGGGGGGGGGGGGAGAAATAGGATAAAGGGACCGAGAGACAGCTGGGGGAGAGATAGAAAGACTCGAGGGTGAGGGAAAGAGAAAGACAAGAGAAGATTGAAGAGAAAAAGGGTAAAATGAGAGAAATACGTACAAAGAGTTTTTCTTTTCTCACATAATCAAATCACTCTGTAGAGTTTATTAGGCAAATCACAATCGTGGTATTTGAATGTTTTTATGTCATAGTATTGAGAAAATTGTTGATGAAAATTGTCAAGATCATTATCCATGTGCTTATGAAATTACAGCAGCTACATGTATAATTACTTCTGACGTCTTGGTATACAACATAAATCAATGATTTCAATCGATTTTTCAGGTCACTTCAAACTACATGCATAATAACACATTTCGGTTTCAATAATAAGACAAATTCGTAGGTCACACATATTGTACATTGCGATCAGAGGAGGTTAAAAATCTGTAAGGATCTATCACATTAGTGTTCTTTACATTACTGTTCAATTGCTTTTTTTTCTCGACATATTACCAGTTGCCCGGCTTATATTCCTCAAGTCAACACCTTCCTTCATGCTAAGAATATCAGAACAAAAGAAGAGACAACTTCACTCAAAATGATTGTGTTGTAAGCTATATAACTCTCTTCCATTTAATATCAGTATCCATCAGTCATTTAACATATAATTATCCACAAGGGAATTAAAAAAAAAGATTTCCAGAAGCGACGATACAAACTTAAATGGTACAAAATGGAATGGAAGTTTGCAACAACACGTCTTCATAAAAAAAAACCACAAACCTGAATATATACTCCCCATAGGACGATCATAAAAGCTGGGCATATTGTCATCAGCTTAGAACAAAAAAGGTTGCTTTAAGTGCGTGAAGGGCTTTTACACGTAACATCATTTTGGATCCAGCTCAACATACATACATGTATGACATTGTATAAATTAGTTACTACCTCGTTACACAAAGAACATACTTTTCATTGCAGCATTATTTTTCGTTCATCATCTTCATCTATTCAAAAGGTACATAGGGAAAATAGCTTTAAAAAAAAGCCTGCAGGCATTTATTGCAAAATTTGATGACTATCACACTCCCACATAATTGTACATTATCTACAATCGTCAATAAGATACAGTGAGAGAGAGAGGGGGAGAGAGAGAGAGAGGGGGGAGAGAAAGAGAGGGGGAGAGAGGGGGAGAGAGAGAGAGAGGGAGAGGTGAAGGGGTGAGAAGCAGAAAAAGTGGGCCAGAGACTTCACAAAAAGGAGAGTAAAATACATGTATGTATATTAATCATAGCTTTTTGTAAAAGTGAGTTGGATACCATGTATTTAAAGACATAATTACAAGTAATGAAACAGACTCTTATTAATTGAATTGCTCATAAATTTGGTGAATTTCCTTTTAAAATGCATTAGACTGTGTGCCCATAAAAATATACTGTACAAGTGAAAAGCTGAAAGGCACTTGTATTTCTAACAATGCCCTGCAAGTGTTGAATTAAGAGCCAAGTCTTCTCTTACAATTAAAAAAACCTCACTTATGATTAACATACCACAATTACATGCAAAGTTTGACATGTGTCAAATTATGTGAAGTTCATGTTATTTTATTCATACGTAATAACTCAATATTTGGTAGTTTTTAGATAGTATTGCAGCACAAATTCTCCATAGAAATGTTACTTAATGTTCTTTTTCATTAACTCCAGACGTACAACAGCAACTGGTGAATGAAACAATGAAAATACAGCCATAGATAGGTGTGGAGTGAGCTAGATGTACTGTAATCCCTCAAGGTTATCTATTAGGACCTCTTTAGGCAACGGGGCAGAGGAGACGGATCTCTTTGACCTGAACCTTGAGTTGACCAGTCATGGACATTACAAGAACGGGGAGGTCAAGTGTGAATTTTTTGCCAGGCACAGCTTCTCCAGCCATGAACAGCATGTATCGTTTCTCTGCGGAGAGAAAAGAAGAATAAAGTACATGAAAATTCATGAATTTTGTTTACTGTGAGTTTACTAGAGCATTATGCACCTTCTGACATGAATTTTGACAATATTTATTACATCACGTAAGGGGGTTTCAAACCTCCTGCGCTCACGGTAGTCTGAATATGGATATTTTTTTGTTCATGTAGTTTGAGTAGCGTTCAATACAGAGATGTGACATACATTTACACTGACACACCTATCTGCATGAGGATTATAGAACTTATTACGTAAACTTATATTTACTGATTAGCAATCTCGAATTTCACTTGGTATTTATTTACTATTTGAAAAATCCATGCCAAATGTAAAAGTTAGTAATACTGAGAAAGCAACTAGAACGGTGTGTTTCATCGAAATGCATAATACAAGAGTTTAAAGGTATTTCCTGAATCCTTATTTATCCCATACCAACCGTGCAATATTAAATAATTCCAATAACATTGCCTGTTGAAAGCCAGAAGGGCATTAATTCTATTAAAAAACACTTCAGTCTCTTGGCCGATGAAGTCTGATGATTTAGATGTATCTTACCTGCCAGTTCAAGGTTACAGACATCATTCGGAATAAATCCGATGATGGGACGATCAACTGCATACGGGTTGTCTAAATGTGTCAAATCATCCAGAATCTTGGCTCGTCCATCTGGCTTCATCTTGACGATGAAAACTTTCAAACAAACAAACATGATGAGTAAAAAATTAAGTGTTTCCTGCACATCTATACATGGACATATACATGAAGCTTGAATTAGTAGTTGTACACACAAAATAAGAATGTGAGATCTTTGTATGTTATACTGATTAATAGTTACAAAATTTGAAGGGTTGAACATCAATATCATTCAGTACCTCGTTCAAAGCGTCGTTGACAATGGTTGACCTAGTGATAAAGGTCGTACACAAAATCGATCAAGAAATTAGGAAGAAGTCAGACAAACTAACTAGCATTGTTGCAAAAGTGGTAGACTTTCAAGGATTTAAGCCTCGCTTCCACATGATGTAGTAAACGCCATGGATAAATAAAAACATTTAAAGTAAAAATGTACAACAGGTGAGGGTTAAAAAAGTATCTGCATGTTACAAGGTTCCCTTAGCCTACTTGAATATCTGGGGGTACATGTTTAGAAATTTGAATCACGCTGTGCTCATGTAATTTCATTTTGTTGCAGCCTCTTTTTTATAGGGCGATTTATCACTTTAGGTTTGAGTGATACTTTGACATTGGTATCAGAGCGAGTGAGAAATTGTGATAGTACTTACTGTTGTCAGAATCACAAATCTTCTGTTCGAGGTCATCCGGAGCAGTAGCTGTAACCACTGGACAAACTACTGTAGAGGAGAAAATAAAAATAGAATACTGAGGGAAAGAAATCAATGGACAGAGTGCAAATGTAGAACTTCAAGGTAAAGACCAGTATTGGAAACGCCCCAATTTCAAAAAAATAAAATAGAAGCTCTAATACCGATCATGTGAAAGAATATGTTTTGACTAACACATGATGATAAAAGATTTGCCAGGAAACCGCCTATTAATTGATATATTTGGTAAATTAGTTTATCTATTGGGATGTGATAGATATAACGCACATATACATCTTTTTGTGTAAACGGTGTCAAGTAAATGTTATTTTCTTTTGAAGCAAACTCTTAATTTACAAATACGATGAATCCCCAAAGCACTTAATGTATGTAACAATATATATTAACATACCTGAATCACACAAATCTCCACTGAATCCTGGAGCACATGTACATGATTCGCTCTCACAGGTACCTCCGTTCAGACATGGGTTGCTTCCGCTACAGTCAACAAAATAGAGCGCCGGTCCAACAACTGGGAGTTTAAGAAGGATGTGTTAAAGATTGTCAAATTAGATAGTAGTTAGACTAGGTTATAATACAAGCATAACATGGCATGACAATTATTTTTTTATTAATTTTTATATTATGCATGAAGACAAAATAACTTTTTATATAAATTTTCAAATGAATGAATTTTCAAATATGCTTTGTTCACATAATTTAGAATGCAATAACTCATAAACCGCAGAAGGTCTGGGCATGAGACTATTGTTTCTAGAAGATATCTCTAATGGGACACTCTATATAAAGTTTGAAAATCATCCTGCAAGAAAAATATTTAGTGTGAATTTGTAAAATGATAAATTGGCCATGGAGTTTGTACAGGCGTGCGTGTTCTTGCCACATAGCGGATTTCAACTTTCACATTCTATGAAAAATTTAATCATGCTCTCGCCGTTCAATTTAAAATATTTGTCATATGTCTTGTAGAATATACTCTCAGCTATAACATACTAAAAACATTTGGGGGGAATGACGATGAATAACGGCGATATGGTTCAATGAACATCAACAAATATCTATAAAAAAAATGTAATCATCGAAATCTATATTTCTGACTTTGAAACAAAAAAATTAGAACTAATTATATTATTTACTATATAAATCTATGTATATACCTATTATTTGCTAGTTTCCCTAAACTATGCAGCCATCAAGAACTTAAAACGTCACATTCGCACATGCCCCACCCCAATACATTGCATTACCAGGGTCATGTGCGCAAATGCAAGCCCACCATCTTAAAGATAAAGACCAGTTATGGTCATGCGATTAGAAACGTTGTTAAATCGATCAGAAAAGGTTGATCATCTAGCATAGATGTACTGCAAGGTTCTGGAATCATCAAAATGATAAGAAATTTGGCCCAGTCTTCATAAAGTTACAAGCACTGTACACAGAAAGATGTATATGGGACTACGCACACATGCGTTTTTATCTCTCATACAGCAATAGATAATAGTCCGGCAGCCATCACGATATACCTTGTTTTAGGGTCTATAGTTTTTTATTTTTTTTATTATAGTTCCTTAGACCATCAATTTGAAGAATCCGATTGCTGACACTCCGTCAGCCTTGAGCAATTTGAGATATGTGACGTCACACAAAATGGCCGCCAAAATACCCTTTTTTACCAAAATTAATGATAAAAAAATTGTTTACAGTATTTTGCTACATTAAATGTCAGTCAAATATCTTGATTTTTTCTAGGATCATCACTAAATAAAAATCGACGATGTTGTATGATAAAAAATGGCATGTAAATTTGCATAATTCAGATTGGCGCCCTCTATAGACACGTTAATTTGCAAATTTTAAATGATGGCCAAATGCCAATTTCTAACATGAAATTAACATTTTTTATAAGTCAGACGCACTGAATACAATAAGTAAAAATTGTGCACCACATTTTGGTATGATTTTTTTGTTATTTTGTACTTTAAAGGTAAAGATCAGTTTTGGAAACGCCCCCCTCTCAAAAAATGAAATGGAAGCTCTTATCACCAATCATGTGAAAGAATATGTTTTGACTAATACGTGATGATACAAATTTTGCCGAGAAACCGCCTACTAATTGATATATTTGGTAAATTATTATATCTATTTAGACCTGATAGATATCGCGCACGTGTCGTGTAGTCCCATATACATCCTTCTGTGTACAGTGCTTGTAACTTTACCAAGACTGGGCCAAATTTTAATCGTTTTGATGATTCCAGAACCTTGCAGTACACACCAATACTTATAAGCTAGATGATCAACCTTTTCTGATTGATTCCACAACGTTTCTTTCACAATGCAATCGCATGACCATAACTGGTCGTTATCTTTAATACTTGAAGAAAACAAGCTAGAATTTCATGCTCTCTGTCCCATAGATATGAGGTACCATATAAATGCCCGTTTTCAGTGACAGCATTCCGAAATTTGATTTGTATTTTGAGGTAATACATTCTTTTATATGAACCTATCATGAAAAGGTTCCTCTCTTACAAGGGAGTTTAATAAAGCGAAATATCCACCCAAAATGACCAAACATGGTTACCTTCCAATGGCTATCATTTGCTGCTTTAGTTTGATCGTTATAACACTCGACAGAGGCGCGAAAACCACAGAAAATTGTGCATGCTAGTTTTGCTTTGTTGCATTGGCACCGTGATGATTTACATAGGCTTCCACTCGCACAAGTGCACCGTATTAACCTTAATATGTTGTCCGGTGCGAGTTGTACATTTGTAAGTACTGTGACAGGGATCAGCGATTTGGTTTCCACTTCTTTTGCATAGCCATACTTTGTAGGATCCAATGATGTGGGTCGTGACTGCAAGGCGTGCTTCCACACACATGTTTGCAGATGAGCTCTCTTGCCAACTGAGTCCAAAGGGAGTCAAATCTTCTGCTTCATCACTTTCAGCAATGCATGTACCCTTTTCAATCCCAAAGTATGCCCAAATAGTGTCGCATCCCCTCAACGCATGTCCTGCCAACATCAATGGAATGATATCTTCTAACTTGTGTACAGTGGCAGGAATGTCAATAACAGTTCGCTCTTTGATGACGCCATGATCATTGGCGTTCTAAGTTATTTGTGTAGATAATGATGGACCCTAACCCTAACAGCCAGGACCCTAACATACCTTTTCTCATTAGCAGCAATTTGAATCGCTTGCTGTACTATGATGTTGTCTGCTTCTTCATGTGTTATGGAAAGATCTTCCCTTGGCATGACATCGCTGCCTGGTATCACTTCAACAGATACCTCATCTTGACCGGTAATGACCAGCTTGTGCTTTTGCCTATTTCTGAACACCTCCTCATTCTGCAGAATCACGCATACCGGTATTATGATGTCGATCAACTGTAGTTTGTTGTCAGTAGTTTCTGGGAGGGAAGCAGTGAGGTGGGAAGGAAGACTCTTTTGGATGACTCCCGATTCGTCATGACTTCTAGAAACCCTGGTGGCACACCAACCAAAGATCATCAGATTTTAATCCAGAGTAGAGCACAACCATCAAACGGGCTGTACAAGGTTGCTCAAGTGACACGTCAACCTTTGTCAAATTCTTCAAGTTCGCCTTTGACCTGGTGAAAGCTTTCATGACAAAATATTCTTGATATTGACATATCTTCAACTTGTCTGCAGTCCTATTACTCTAGTCTAAGAGTAGATCAACTTGGTGTCATAGACTTTTGAATCCTCCAATGTTAATTAAACTACACCCTCCAAGTGGTTGAAAACTTCACCTACCTCGGCTCCATGTATTAAGCAACCTCTCCCTTGATCTCGAGCTCAACGTTCACATTGGAAAGGCAGCAACCAAGATTACTAGACACTCAAAGCAGGCCTGGAAGAACACTTTACTATAAACCACCAACACGAAAATGAAGATCTACCAGGCCTATGTGCTCAGTACTCTCCTGTATGGCAGTGAGTCGTGAACCCTGTATGCAAGTCAGGAGCGCCGTTTGAATGTTTTCCATTTCCGCTACTTGAGGCGAATCCTAGGCATCAAATGGCAGGACCACATTCCAAACAAGGATGTCCTCAAAAAGGAGGGATGCTGACCATCTACGCTCTTCTATCACAACGACGGCTGAGATGGCTTGGTCATGTCAGTCGTATGGAAGACGGCCGCATTTCAAAAGACATCTTGTAGGGAAAGTTAGCGACCAGAACCAGGACTGTTAGAAGACCTGGCCTTCGCTTCATGGATGTGTGCAAGAGGGATATGGAGGCCAGTGAAATCAACCCTACAAAATGGGAAGCCTATGCTTCAGACTGCCCCAAATGGAGATGCGCTGTGAAGACATGTATACAGAGGAGTGATCAGAAGAGGGTAGAACAGTGGGAGGAGAAAAGGCAACAAAGACGGCAGCTAGCCACGGCTTCAACAGCACAGCCACACATGAAATTCGTCTGCAGCAACTGCAACAGGACCTGTCTCTCTAGGATTTGACTGTTTAGTCATAGCAGGAGCTGCACAGCAAAAAACTCTTGCTTGAAGCAGTTAAAAAAGAGGTACAATTGACGGTGTTCAAAGGGAGGGAGTTCCAGAGTCTTATTGTATCCGGGAAGAAGCTCCTCTTTTAGACAAACATTCAGGCAAAATGAACAATTATCTTCTTGGAATGCCCTCTGTGCAGGGATGTTGATGGAGTGAGGAAAGTATGTGGAAAGTCTTTCAGCGGGTTGTTGATGCGAAAGATCATCACCACCTGAGCCTGTACCCTGCGTTCCTGTAATGTTGGCCACTTGAGCTGGTTCAGGATGGCTTCTACTTTGCTTGTCCTGCAGTAGTCATTGCAGAAGGAGCGGACATAGCGCCGTTGACCCATTTCAAGCGTTTTGATGATTGCTAATTGTTTGAGTGTTAGGGTCCCATATAATTATGATGATGGCATACTCCATGATTGGTTGAAGGCGAGTATCGTAGCACAATTATTTAACTTTTCTAGGACATGGTTGGATATTTCTTTGAAGAAAGGCACGGGTGGAGTTGGAGTATTTGCTGATAATGTTGATATGTGGGTTCCAGCTGAGGTTTTTCTGTGACTCAACACCTCGATACTTTGCTATATTTTTGTCATCTAGGGTCTGTCCGTGAATTTGATGATGGATTTGCGTTTATTGGTGACATGTAGAACCTGACATTTATGTGGGATGAATTCCATCAGCCAATCACGCTCCCAGCGTTGCAGTGAGTCAAGATCCTCTTGGAAACGTTAGGCGTCTTCCTATGTCTTGATGTTGCTGTATAGCATGCCATCGTCAGCAAAGAGTCTGACTGTTGGGTTTGGGGAGAGGTACGGTGGCAGATCATTGAGGAAGAGGAGAAACAGCATCTGGCCGATAACGCTGCCTTGCGGGATGCCAGATGTTACTTGGCTGGTGTTGGAGATGGGTCCTTCCAGTAACACCTGCTGGGTCCTGTAACTCAGGAAGCCAGAAAACCAAGCATGTGTGGGTTCCCAGATTCCATAGAATTGGAGCTTGTGTAACAGCTAGCCTTCCATGGGGAACCTTGTCAAATGATTTGGAGAAACCAAGGAGTGTCATGTCCAATTGGTCTCTAGCATTGATGCCTTTGGCAAGGTCCAGGACAGCAAGGACAAGCTGTGAGACGCAGGATCGCTTCTTTCGAAAGCCATGTTGTGCATCAGACAAGATGTTGTGGCTTTCAAGGTGGTTCATGTTGCTGCTAAGAACGATGTGCTCCAGTAATTCACAGGTTACTGACGTTCGAGAGACAGCTTTGTAGTTCTCTGGCTTGCTACGGTCACCTTTCTTGAAGATGGGATCAATATATATAGCCATCTTCCATTTATCAGGTATGCACGATCTGGTTAAGGGAGGCTTGGAAGAATAGGGAACACAGGTGTCAGTTTGGTGGTCAGAAGTCTGGCTGGGATTTGGTCAGGACCAGTGGCTTTATGAACATCAAGCTCAGACAGGATCTTCAGAACACCTGGTGGCGAGATAGTAATGTGATCCATGGTTGGGTAGGGGCTTCGTCCTTTGTCTCTCAGACTAGTCATATCTTCATTGCAGTTGAAGATGGATGAAAACTGATTACTTAGAATGTTCGCCTTTGAGAGGCTATCTGAGTAAGTAATTCCATTAGATTATTTCAATGGAGCCAACCCTGAAGCATCGCATCGCTTGCCGTTTATGAAACTCCAGAAACACTTTGGTTTACAGTTGGTGCCTGGGCTGACAATTTCTGTCAGGTACCCGTTGTAGACTTTCTTGGAAATTGTGTCATAGAATCCACCAGGTAACTTCTGTTAAAACTCATGCATCTGTCTGGTACCGATGCCAAATGCTTTATCATCATTCACTGACGCTGGATCAATGCTGGTCTAAATAAAGCCTATGAATGGAACAATAATGTACCGTAAAATCACTTCTTACTGATTCTCTTGTAGATCTTGGTTTCTTTACATGTATCTTAATTTAGACCAAAAAATATGTAAGATAAATGCAGCACAATCGTAATTATTTCATGCATACGAAGCATATAATATGTGTTTAACGTCACGTAGATCTAAGAAATTGGCATTTGGCTGGCACACCTATTTTTATGCAAAATTAATATATTTATAGAGGGCGCTATTTCAAAATATGCAAATTAGCTTGTCATCTATGGCCGTGCAACATCACGAAACAATTTTTAGTGATGGTCCTAGAGAGATACAGACATTTGGCTGCCCAAAATTGTAGAAAAAGCCCTATTATATATTTATTATACATTTTTAGAGAAAAATCATGTACTTTGGCGGCCATTTTGTATGACGTCACATATCTTAAATTGCTCAAGGCTGACAGAGTGTCAGCAATCGGATTCTTCAAATAGAAGGTTTAGGCAATCATAATCCATTGAAAAAAAAACTATAGACCCTAAAACAAGGTTAGGCCAATAATCTGGATTTGGCTGCCGGACTAATATCTATTTACACCCCTCTCCCCCCACTAGAATCCCGCGGATTTCCGCGGGTCCTGCTAGTATAGTAAATAATAAAATTAGTTCTGATTAGTTCAGATAAGCCTGGGAGGCATGTCCCAAGTAGAAGGGGATTAATGGGGATTAATGGCAGACAAGGCCACACACAGGGACGAAGACGCGAACAGTACCTCCCTAAGAAGGAACGTCCCAGAGATAAAAACGAAGCAAGAGAAACGAGAGACTGCCAAAAGGTGGCCCCCAAAAGATCCTTTAGCCCAATACCTCGAAAAAGAGCCCAGAAAGAACCGATGCTTCTATGGTATCGCGGGCTCAGGCCTTGCCCCCCAGGAGGGCCTAAAGGCCAACAGCCCGTACGGCTCCGACAATCCATCTGGAAATGAAACCTCAGACGCAGTGGAGAAAAGTCCCCAGGTAACGAGAAAGAACTGGACGCCCTCATGAAACTCTTGGACCTGTCTAAGTACCATTTAAAAATCCTCACCTGGCACCATGTAGACTTAGTCCTCCTTGACCCAGGACAAGACACAGAGAGGGTTGAGGAAAACCTCACCTGGCCCAGAGGAAACCATCTGGGTCTTAGCCAAAAGGAAGGCCTGGGTCCAAGTCCAAAGCGTCGTCTCTCCCACCGAACAGGGTTAAACTGGACCGGGGTCCGGGTCACCCGAGTCCAAGGACCAGACAGAGTCGATCACGTCCGAGGAAGGGCCGTACCAGTCGACCGAGAGGCTAGGGGCTTAGCCCACCTGCTTTCCACAGCAAAGAGCTTCAAGTATTCGAGAGGCTCAGAATGATTGACCGCCCCAGAGAAAGGGGTGGCATCTGAAAAAAGGTCCTACCCTTCTTCCCAGTCTAATGTGTGCTCGAGGCAGACTTTGACTCAGAAAGAGACGTGGCTGAAAGATACTTCTTTGACTACTTGCGGGTGGAGCTCGCCGGCAAAGAAGTCGGCACCTTGGCCTCACCCGATGGGTCTTGCTCAGCAGAGCTGTCGTATGGTCTCTTGCAGCTCTAAAAGGCTCGTCTGAGACAGGGGAACTGGCCCCTGAGTGACTGTGGCTGCACAAACACTAGCTGCATGAGTTACTCAGGGCTTTCAGATGATCTTTTACGGCTGGCAATCACCCGTCACGGGCGACCGAGAGCCAGATCTATCTAGAACCGATCCAAAACCGAATCGTATGTCTACGCGTCCGGATACGGGATATGATATCCGAATCGGCAATCTGGACCGAACAAAATAACAGCTAACCAGGCTTTCGGACGGTCTCGTACTCCTTGCGGGCGGGATCGACCGCCATCAGAGGAGTCGACATATTGGACAGGCCCTGCAGAGCATGGCTGTCGGATATTTTGAATATTTTGTAAGACAGACCAAACTGTGCCAAAAAGGATAATTTGATACAAGTGACTTAGCTGTCTACATGTTCTCTTGGCGTGCGAGAAAAGAAGAGGTGGGCGTGCGCTTGCGCATGTGACCCTGGGAAGGCGATGTTTTGGGGTGGCCTGCGCGGATGTGACGGAAGTTCTCGATGGCTGCGTAGTTTAGGGAAACTAGCAAACAATACATAGGTAAATACATTGATTTATTGAGGTTAATTCTTATCTACAACTCATACTCTATCCAAATATGAAAATAAATTTGGGAGTTCATGGACTTGATTGAGAGGTATAATCAATTCAACATAAACATATTTCCGACCATTTTCAGATTTTGGCGAATTTAAGCCGGCATAAATTGTTATCTTTAACTCGTATGTATGACATCATTTATGGCGAGTTAGGAAGATATGATTGATAACACAATTTCACAAAATGGATCCTGGATGATTTCAAGGTTGAGTGATCACGCTGAGAGGGAAAGGTTTGTCTATTTTTGACCAAGGGGAATTAGTGGAAAATGTAATAGTGATCGAGCGGTGCGTTTATTTAGAAAATCTGTCCATAAAAATGTACAGAAAGAAAGAATAAATAGATAAAGAATAAAGATTCTGACAAAATCAAGAGGGGATCTGCAGATCTGCTGCAGATTACCTAAAAGGAGCTTCCATGAATGAAATAAGCCTTTTGACACCAGTCAACTGAAACATGTACACGACATACACTGGAATGTGCACACTGCGCTGGGTGATTCTAAACATGACTGAATAAAATGATTAAGAATAAATAAATTGAAAATGTGAACCTGAATAGAACATTGACCCCTGTTTACAGAAGTGAAAAGTAATCTGGGATTGCTGAAACAAAACTGTCATCTTTGTATGCAACCTACAAAGACAAGGCATGCCTATATTGGACAATCTTTGCCTCCCCCTTCCACAGTGCTCACCTGATTGCTGTGTTCGGACGGTGATGACTGGACTGCTGGCGCCCTCGCCTGTCTCAGAGCGGGCAGCCAGGCGGATGTGGTAGAGGGTGTTGGGTCGGAGGTCGTCCAGGACGTAGTCGGTGGTGGGGGTGATTGTCTTGTGCATGTTGGAGGTAGAGACGTTGTAGTAGAGCTCATAGTGGACGATCTGGGGCTCCGTATCATGCATCATCCACGTCAGACGGATCTGGAAGGCAGATATGGCCACTCCTTCAAACTGCTCTGGCTGACTTGGCACTGAAGGATAAGGTAAAGAGAAGTATGTGAATCGATTGATGAGACTTCAGAATTCATTGATTATGAATCATCATCGAATGCAAAATACATTTGCTACGATTTTACGAATGTTACATTTAGAGATCAATACAAAAGTGAAAGTAACTGTTATTAGTTTCTCTCAGCTTAAAAGTGCAAGAAGACATCTCTCAAGTAATCTCTTTCCATCTATACCTTGAGGTATTTGTCTATTGATCAATCTACATACCTGGTTTTCTTTATCTACCAACTATCTTCCTATCTATCAATGTATCTACATGTATCTGTACCTCATCCAACCATCCATCTATTCACTTAACTACCTGTCTGTCATTTTTCCAATCTCAATACATCTATCCATCAATCTATCTACTGCCCATGTAAATACCCAACAATTCATCCATCCAATAATCCCTGTTAGCTACTCACCTCCTTGCTGTGTCTTGACCTGTATTGGTGGCGAGGCCGGTCCCTCCCCCTTCACGGTGAAGGCGGACACGCTGACCGAGTGGATCTGCATGGTCACCAGATCACTGATGGTGGTCAAGGAGCGGCTAGCGTCTACCGAGACGTGGAACCACGACTCGGGATCGCTGTTGGGGTTGGTGGTGTAGAAGACGTTGTACCCCTTGAGGACACCGTTGGGCGTGGTGGGTGCGCTCCACTGGATAATGATGGTGCTGTCGCTGGTAGGGCGTGCCCGGACTTCTATGGGCGGAGAACCAGGCACTGCCAGAGAGAGAGAGAGGGAGAGAGAGAGAGTAAAGGTGAGTTTGTAAGTTTTCTGAGTTGGCAAGAAGGGCTTAAACTTTATTAATTCTGCAGAATGTAATGCCCTACTGGCTCTCAAAAGATGGGATCAGGGTAAGTCATTAAGAAAGACAAGTAGCATGACGTGTTTGAAGATATAAACAGTATTATTATTTGAAATGTCGTCTTAAAAATGATAATAGGGACTTTTAGATTTACACGACGAGAGCGTGGACTGCCGCGTGTGAAATTGTGTTAAGGCACTGGGCCGTGCCCGGCAGTGCCTTAAAAGGACGTCACATTACCTTAAAAGGATGTCACACGTGGTGGTCCACGTTCTCGTCTTGTAAATCTAAAAGTCCCTACTAAATTTGTGATTATTCTTTCAGGGGAAAAGGTAGCCATTTTCCCCTAAAAGTTTTGATTTTTTTTCAGCCTGCCTATGGAGATTGCACTGTTTTTCCCCTTTTTTACGCACTGCCAACCAGTCGGCATCTCACACGAGTGACGTATAAACAAATCTTCGGACGGATTCAGAAACCTTTACGTCTCACATTTACGTTGATATAACGATTGTTTCCATTCGTGGAGAGGAAACAGTAGCACTTTTTCAACCAATAAAAAGTAGCTTTGTTATAATAAATCAAGGTGGCTGGGATAGTTAGGCGCTAGCTACGCTTGACGAGTGCGCCCGTACGAACAAAAAACAGTATAGCTACACTTGCAATTAACGTGGTGCGTACAGAGTGTGTGCGTTGCGCTCAAACTCTCGGATACCACCATGATTGTTTGGAATCTTGTTCTATTAATGTGTATACACGTGTACCCAAATGGGCTATTGCACTCCGACTATAGGGAATTAGTCAGTATAATCAGTGGCAGAGGGAAGGAGTTCGATTTCGTCTACGGTGTGATGGCATGCTTCTGCTGGTGTAGTCTATCGTCATTTTGCATTTTTTGTAACTATAGGTGAGTTTCATTAATAATTCAGTTTCTTAGTGTTAGTAAGTAGTCAACAAGAGCAAGCGCTCGCACCCCCGCTTTGCCGCATTGGACTAGTCCGATCAGTGTACTTTCACGCAAGAGTGCACTCGAGCGGTATCTCTTCGTGAAAGCGGTTGTTTAGTGCTGGTATTCTTTTATGCACGTTTAGGGCTAAAAGTTTTTCATATGAATTCTTTTCTTTTCAACTTTATCGATATAATCTTATAACAGTTTGAATGATATACATACAAAAGGTAGAATTGTTTACATAACAGTCAGGGTCCATTGCAGAAAGCATTACAATCAATCATAGGTTTTAATGCACATTCAAACGTATTGTTCTTCCTGTCATCAGTCAACACAAGCCTCAAGGTCTCATGTGCATCCCAATAAACATATGAAACATTACTCGGAAGTCAGAGGAGAGATTTACTAGAACTTGTGATCAATCACGGGCCTTTGATCAATGCAGGGGCCCCCTGGAAGGTATTCAATTTAACACCTGGATGAAGTCACCAATGTACTTGGCTTTAAAAATAGTTAGCTTGCCTTATTAAAATGGCTGAATTCATATTCCGATCACATACAAGTTTTGTACTTTGGCAAGCCAACATAAGCCAGCCATAATCCTTAGCTTATGTGACATAAAAAACCATGGTCTTCCTGTTGTTTCAGTCATGGCGATGTCAAAATTGTGCGCAATGAAAGATTTGGATTGCGCGACTGTGTTTCGGTGCAGCTCAATTCCTCAATGATTAGGACCCACTGTTTCCTAGCTAGTTTTCATAACTGTTTATCTGCTGCAGTTGGAACCACAGACTGCCATTGCATCAGTATTTCGGTACATATCACTGTACGTGTGATAAAGGACTACATTGGCTGTCCATTTTTTGTTGGTGCTATTACACAACGAAAGCAAGTAAAGAGTTAAAGATAAACTTTAGTACTGGTAATGCGATTGCATTGTGAAAGAAAAGGTGTGGAAAGGATCAGAAACAGTTGATCATGTAGCATGTAAGTATTGGTGTGCACTGCAAGGTTCTGGAGTCATCAAAATCATAATAAATTTGACCGAGTCTTGGTAAAGTAACAAGCACTGTACACAGAAAGCTATATATGGGACAACACACATGGTGTCGGGGCTAGTACTACCTTGATTTCCTTGTCTTTCTATGCTCATTACTTAGCCAGTATACATTTTCTTCCAAAATTGTTTGGCACATGTCATTTATTTGTAATCTTGAACATTCAGTGTAAGTTTTGTTTGATTCTGTGAGAATTAATTTTCTCTTTTTTACCAGAACTGGAGGTTATCTTTAATGTCAGAAAAAATACTATGCCAAAAGATGCAACTGAATACACCCGAAACCGATTTTAAAATATTTTGGACTTCAGTATTGAATGAATACAAGTTCAAAATCATTGTAAACTTGTTACCATCTTCTCCTGTCATGGCAGTGGCTTCAGCACTCGGGTTGCTCCTCCCGATGGTGTTGACTGCGAGGAGGCGTACGGCATACTCTGTATACGGCAGAAGGCCTTCTATGGTGAAGGAAGTGTCTTGCTCGGAATAAGGTATCTCCACTTCGGTGAAGGAGCCGCCCGATCGGCTGCGCTTGTATTCCACGACGTGGGAGGTGACCGTGTCACTGGGCAGGGTGCTCCACTCCACGGTCAAGGAGGAGGAGGTGTAGCCGGTCACCACCGGTGAGTTGGGTACGCTAGGGGGTGCTGGGGTGGAAGAGTCAAACAATTTGATTGAATAAACAATAATAATTGATCAATTTATATAGCGCAGCTATATACAAATATACTCTACTGCGCTATGATGATAACAAAACTCCCAACAGTGCTAACTTTATAGACACACAATAAAAACTATTCAAAAGCTCCTTAAAACAAGCGCGTCTTCAACAAAACTTTGAAGATGCACTTAAAGATTTTATTGAATTTTATTATGTCTGAGCCTTCACTATAAAAGAATTAATACCAGATTGAAACAGTCTAGACAGAATTTGGCCATAGGATTTGCAATATTTCAATATTGGCCGTAACACAGAGTCTTTATGCTGCAAAATAATAACCTATGGTTTTCCTACGAGACTTCATCTAGGCATCCCAGGTCACCACTATATCACTGTTTGGTGGATGCATAGGCATATCGACAAGAGGCATACACCCTGAATATTCTAATTTATTGGAAGTTCTGCTTTGCACCAGAAACATCGGTTCCTGGCAAAAAACAGGAGCAGGGCATATGTTGCTATATTCACACTATTCTACCGATTCTTCAGCTGTAAGTCATGCAATAAAATGTTCCCGAAACTCACTTCTCACAGTGACTCTAGCTAAGGTATCTATGGTCCCCAGCAAGCTGGTTGCTACACAGGTGTAGTTGCCCGACTCGTAGATGTCCCTCAGCTGCAGGACGTTGCGCCCGATTGGGAGACCGTCCATGTCGTCCAGGTCCATATCTGCTTTCATCCACCGTACCCTAGGCATCGGGGAGCCGTAGGCAGCACAGGTCAGGTTGACGCTGCCTCCTGGTACCACCTCCTGGTTCACAGGCAGGATGGTAAAGCGAGGCTCCACTTGAAGATCTGAGGGTAGGACAAGAATGGTAATTAGTACACTGTATCAAAGACAACAGACCACTTCTTAATGTAACTCAATGATGCACAAAAAGAGTACATAGTTTACAAGTGCAAGTTGTATCTCCCAACATAGGAAAGAGGATGATTCAATCCAGTATCAAGATAAAGACTGGAAAAATAAATTTGATGAATGAAAGAAATTTTAAGCAGATTATAAGCATCAAGATACAACACTCCATTTCTATAACTACTTTAATGATGTAAATAAACAAAGTATATGGAAATCTTTACGCTGATTGTACCATTTATGGGGTTAAATCTTTAGGGCTTCCATGCCTGCGATCAACACAACACAGTCCTTTCCTCATTCTTCCACAGATACATCATGAAAAGGTATGCTACATCAATTGGGCAAAGGAGATTTAAAAACTTCACACCTTTATGGCTGTAGGCAAGCATACAAGTGGGTTCTCTACACTCTTATGCCTGACTTGATTCTTATATATTTTAATAACTAATATTTGTAATCAAAAAAGAAGAAGAAAAAGAATCATTTGGTGGCTGAACTTACGTTTGACATAGACTTGAGCCTCCACAGAGTAGCGTGTTCCCAGAGAGTTCTTCGCGGCACACTCATAGCGACCCTGGTCAGACGGCAGAGCTCTGGAAAACTGAAGGCCCGCTGGTAGTAGCAAAAGAAAGAGGAGGAACAAAAACAAAAAATAGTTTGATTGATTGATTGTTCAAGATTTACATATACTTGCAGCTCTACAACAAAACAGGAAGATACAATTCCATACGTTGCTTTAGAATAAAGAAATAGGTAAAATATTAGCTGATGTTTTTCACCTTAAAGATACTCCCTTAAATTTGCATCAAATTCTGTAGAACTTTGCAGGAATTATGTATATGTCATGTATTTCCTATCTGTGAAATTTAAATGTTAACTGTGTGCTGGTATTCAAATTATGCAAGGAAATCCGTTTACTTTCTAGACTACCCTGTCAGACACTATGAGTGACTGACTGAAATCTGTTTTCCTTTGGTAAATAACATACATAAAATGAGTTGTAACAGGTCGTATCCGGACACCTACCCACTGGACATCCACCCCCAGATCAGGCGCGGATCCAGGATTTCATAGGGGAGGGGGCCCAACTTTCTTCTTTTTTTTTTGCTCCCGAAAATTTGAAAAACGCGCCGGCCGAAAAGTCGCTCAGTGGGGGGGGGGGGGGGTGTAGTGAGCACTATTTAAAAAAAAAATTTTTTGCTCCCAAAAATTTGAAAATTGCACCGGCCAAAAAGTCGCTCAGTGGGGGGGGGGGGGGATCCGCCACTGCCCTGGATAACCACCCACAGTCAACTACCCCCTAGGGCAACCACCCTCTAGGACGACTACCCCCAAGGACAACTACCCCCGGATAACTACCCCAAGATAACTACCGTTTAGGATAATTGTCCCGGTGGTACATGAGCATTTGTCTACATCAATAACCCACTACTTGTAATGGCACAACATGTACAACCATTCGGTACAATAGTCTGAAAAATCAGACTATTACTTAGGTGACTGCAATCACTTATGTCGATTCGACAACTAATGGTCGTTATTTTCCCACAAAAAGCTATTTTCAAACCCTTTGTTTTGAGGGAAGTTCTAAATAAGTATTGTCTTTCAGATGCAGTTGGAATTTAACCTTTTTATTTGTTTGACCTGCAAATGGGACATAGTACCTTCAATGTTGTGGTCGACAGGTTTTCATACTTTCTATCTTTGCTTTTGTAAGTAATTTTCTTCATGCTTCTGCTTCCAGAAAAAAACGAAACCGAGAATTATCGATGTTTTATCATTAAAAAAAAACTTAGTCACATTTATAATTAATAAATGACACATTTTTGGAAAGCTTAGATCCTCCTCTTTCATTTGCTGCATCTCATATGATGCATATTTCATGCATGAGTGATTAAAACGAATTTAAAGAAAGGAAACCAAAAAGTCATTTGGCGGACGGTATCTGAATTTCAAGGAGAAAATCACATTTCTAGAAAGTTGAGTTTCTGCCTTTTCACATGACACCTCAATCAGGAAAAATGAGCGAGGAATGACAAAGTTCTGTTTGTTTAAAGTAGTGCTTCCTCCAACTTCCCTAAAAAAGGGAAGGGGGGCTTGGAAATGTCTTGAAGTGGGAAAATAACGACTATTAGTTGTCGAATCGACTTAAGTGCTACCAAGTCGGTAAGTAATAGTCCGATTTTCAGACTATTGTACCGAATGGTCGTACTTTTTGTGCTGCCGAAGATTCAATCAGTTTAATTTTGGCCATTACAAGAAGTGGGTTATTGTAGACAAATGCTCATGTACCCTTTACAGCTCATTTTATGTATGTTATTACCAAAGAAGAAAAAAGCCAGTCAGTCACTCAATAGTGTCTGACAGTGAAGTCTAGCAAGTAAACGGGTTTCCTTGCATAATTTGAATATTAGGACACAGCTAATGTTTAAATTTCACAGATAAAACATACAGTACATATTCATAATTCCTGCAAAGTTCTACAGAATTTGATGTTGGCTGCAAAAGGGACATAATATCTTTAAAACCTTGTTCTTGCTACAATGAGTTTGTGTGGGCAGAGTGCAACTGACAAATCTATAGTAGACTCATGGTTTTGTTCATGCTAATGAGCTTTCTTTGACGAGAGCTAAGCACTTGCTAAACAAAGGTAACAGACAGTCAGAAAAATTACTACAAGATCAGGAAAAACAGAAAAAACATAACATGGCAAGATGTGCGCACGTTCGCTTGAGCCTATAAAACAGCCAGGCCTCTCAAAGCAGTCGATATCTCTTCACTATACATTTATACAGAAAGACCGTAGAGATTTAAGAAGAGTTTTCAAGCCCTGTGCTTTTCAGGCTCAAGACCATTTACAGGGCTTGGGACTTGAGATGAACTTCATTTAAAAAGAAGCCAAACTTGCATTTACATTGCTGTATACAATCCAGTTTTCTAAATACAACAGGGCTCATGTTGACTCTGGTTCAAGATCTACAGCAATAGCATGGGAGCATATATTCTTTCTGTGATATCTTGGAGGCAAGACAAATGATACACGTCCGACACGGATAAGTTTCAGACTAGGAGTGATCTTTATTAGAGGGGTTTCACAGTGGCCCTGTAGGCTCATTACATAACTTTGTCTGGCATAAACATATACCAGTAGGTGGCGCCATTACATACATTGATATGGATTTACATTGATCAAGATACATCACACTTTCCTATTGAAAGCAATTTTCTTTTAAATAAAAGAAACCCCTGGAGGAAAACATGGGCTCTTATCTCTATCATAACATCCTATCTCTCTATAATGAAATATTTTGTAGTATTTGGTATCCTCAAAATCTTCTTTTTTAAAATAATTTTTTATTTCATTTCTAAAGATTATCAATATGAAGTTTTACAATTCAATATACTGTATGAAGCAGGTGACCTTCCATTACATCTATCAACTGAAACGTTGAGTTTATCTTGACCCCCAATTTGTGCAAACGACTTTTAATTCGTTATCAGCTGCATTGTCTCATCACTGAATTATGAAAGATTTTATGCAAATGATTATCACATCTTCATTTCTCTCTTCCTCTTCCATTCTTTAAAACAAAATTATTGGTCACATATTACAACTTACAATCCGTTATGGAGATCCTGTCATTAGTTTCGATGGGTACAAATTCCTTGAACCACAGGATCTCAGGCTCAGGGTTGCCGGTGGCTCCACAGTAGATGGTCGCCGGTCGGTCGTTCACCAACACTGTGTAACGTCTCGGGTTGAACGTGATCTCGGGATAGCCCGCTGGAAGACTGTCAGCTGCAGAAATTAAATGAAGTAGAGAGAAAGATAAAGAGAGGAGAAAAACAAAGCTATGGTCAATAAAATAAAACAAGGGAAACGCTCTTGGCGGTCTCGCCTGCATTACGCAATTTGATATGATGAACAATTGAGGTTGGGACATTATTTAAAGGCAGGGTGGCCCATAAGCAGGCCGCCAAAAATGAAATCCTCTGAATATAATCAAAATTATACTTTCAAAATGATGATAAAAATTCAAAATCTTAACCTGATGCCACAACATATTCTAAATTTGTTGACCTGAAATGACCTTTGACCTTGACTTTGTGACATGATATTCTGCTCACATGGTTGGGGATACTTGATAACCCTTTAGTTCAAGTTTCATTGAATAAGAACATATACTTTCAAAATTATATTAAAAATTCAAAAACTTAACCTTGGTTAAGTTTTTGATGTTGACGCCGCCGCCGCCGCCGCCGCCACCGGAAAAGCGTCGCCTAGCCTATACGTCTCGCTTTTTTGCTACGCAGGCGAGATAAAAATGGACAAACAAAAAAGAACAAACACACTGATTTTGTACATATCTTGGAAATATTACTCCCGCTAGGAATAAAGTGATGATGCTGAAATATCATTCTGTAAACAAAAATCATGTAAAAAAATATTGTTAAGATTACGTGCACTCTTTTAATTGCTTTTTATAATATAGAACCGGTATTAGGCAAGCAACCCCCTCCCCCCATTGTCTTCCCTAATGCCTACGCCATTCACAAGTTTCAGTCTTCTTTTCTACGTAGCAGCCAAGAACCTAGAACAGGACAGCAGAACTGGGATGACTTCAAAACAGAGATTGGAGACCTAATGGAGAGTTACATACCAACAAAGGTGTCTGGAAAGAAAAGAACCAGTCCCTGGATCACAAACACCATAAAGAGAGGAGTCAGAAGAAAACAAAGACTGTACAATAAAGCTAAAGCTTCAAAAACACCAGATGATTGGCTTAAGTACAAGAATTATCAGAAAGAATTAAGATCTCAACTTCGTCATAACTACTGGACTTATCAAAACAAGATATTCTCTCCTGATGACAAGAACAACAAAGCATTCTGGAAGTTCACCAAATCCAGAAAGCAAGAGTCATCTGGAGTTGGATCCCTCAAGTGTGGTGAAACGCTTGTATCCAACAGTATGGGGAAAGCAACTGCACTGAACGACCAATTCCAATCAGTTTTCACACTGGAGGATAACTCGAACATTCCAGATCTTAGACAACCCGTATTTCCTCCGATGGATCGCATTAAAATCTCTGTGGAAGGCATTGTCACGCTACTGAAAGCTATACATGTTAGCAAAGCCACAGGACCAGATGGCATACCAGGAAGGATCTTGAAGTTCTTTGCTGAAGACATTGCACCGATCCTGACCTTTATCTTTCAACAATCTCTAGATACAGGAACAGTACCATCTGACTGGCGTCTTGCAAACATATCACCAATCTTCAAGAAAGGAGACAGGAGCAAGGCCTCCAACTACCGCCCTGTATCAATCACGTCCATCTGCAGTAAACTCTGCTCGAACATGTCATTTTCAGCAATATCAGGGATCAATATGATGAAAATAATGTTCTCAATGATGTTCAGCATGGCTTTCGTCCTGGCCATTCATGTGAGACCCAGCTGATCATTACATCTCAAGATGTTGCACACTCTCTAGACCAGAAAGGGCAAGTTAATGCAGTTGCATTAGACTTCTCCAAAGCCTTTGACCGTGTACCCCATAACCGCCTCCTCCATAAGCTCCATCACTATGGGATCCATGAAAACCTTATCAGATGGATCAGAGTGTTCCTAACTAAAAGGTTACAATGTGTTGTTGTAGATGGAGAGTCATCTGAATGGGTTCCAGTCACCTCTGGGGTACCGCAGGGCACAGTTCTCGGCCCACTTGTTTATATCCTTCATCAATGACTTAGTAAATGGGATCTCTTCCAAAATCCGACTCTTTGCTGATGATTGTCTTCTATACCGTCCGATCACTGATGTCACTGATAGCCAAGCCCTACAACAAGATCTCAACAGGCTGCATTCATGGGCTAACACATGGCAGATGAAATTCAACACCGAGAAATGCTACCACATCACATTCTCCCTACGTCGGAAAGCCATCACCACGACATACACGCTAGGAGACACTCCTCTCGCGTTGGTAACAGATCTCCGGTTTCTAGGACTGACTTTCTCATCCAAGGCTATATGAACAACATCACATCCCGAGCCAATCAGATGCTGGGACTAGTCAGCAGAAATCTCCGCAAAACCTCACAAAAGATCCGCCAGCAAGCCTACTTCTCTCTTGTTAGACCTCATCTGGAATACTGTTGCTCGGTCTAGAACCCTCACACAAACAAGCATATATCCCAAATCGAGGCAGTACAAAGGCGAGCAGCAAGATTCACCCTCCAGAGATATCGTCGTATGACAAGTGTCTCGGCTATGATTCAACATCTGAAATGGGAGAGTCTCGAGAGGAGAAAACATGCTGTAAGCCTCCACCTCATGTACAAGATCCAAAACAACAAAGTAGCCATCAATGCACACCATTACACAGCACCCATGATTGCCAGCAACACACGACAGTATCACTCAAAGAAGTTGCTGGCTATCCCATCCCGCACCCAAGTCTACAGGAACTCATTTTTCCCTCGGACAGTAACTGCATGGAATTCACTTTCGGAGATCACCCTTGACGCTTCTTTACTGGAGGGCTTCAAGGGAGCGCTTCCACCCAGCATCTAGACCAAGAACTAGATAGTTTATTCCTCAGCACTACATCCTGACTTATGGATCCTGCTGAGTATCGTCGTAGAAGTAGAAGTAGAAGAGAGTTTGTTTTTCTTTTCACGTTATTAAGCAAGCACCCCTCGGACCCCCTAATTCCCTCCCATGGCTACGTACACTAATCAAAAGTTGTAGTTTGTTTTTATTATACTTTTATTAAGCAATTATATTTTTTCTCTTTATTTAATAGAGCCTCATTGGTTAGTTCTGAAAGGTAACGCCAAATTAAGCACATGGGACTGAGCTCAGCCGATCCAATTAACCGATCCGATTATCAAGGTTAGTTTAATACAGCATTACGGTTTACCACTTAGCAAAAAAAGCTTTAAAAATTCTATATTCTGACCTCAAGTCTAAATATGTTTATGATTGCAGAGCTTGACCTGCTTGACACATGACCATGTGCCAAATATGAAAGTGGTTGATTGAATAATAAAGAAATTAGAGCCTATATGGGCTTCTGGGCCTGCATGGGAACGCCAAAATAGCTTGGGCTTCCCTTGGGCCTAGCGTGGGGCTGGCTATAAGGCCTTAGGGTTAGCTTAAGCCTGGCTTAGCCTATAGGCTTAAAGTGACTCGGTAACATTGCCTCAGATTCTGAAACAAAATCCTGGATTTAGCTCATGCTGCAATCATAATTATAAACCTAATTTAGGTCAGTCAGGAATCCCATGACTTTTACAAGCCGATCGCCTGTCTGATTATCAAGATATTTATAATTGGAAATCGAAATTTCATTTTTCGTTTTCCGAACGGTTTTTATAGCACTAGGCCTACAGTATATTGGGGAAAATGAGTATGGTAAAATCGGTCACTCAAAGATATTTTAATTTTTTGAGGCACTTCATGATCATTTTGAAGAGCAATTTTTTTAGGGCTTCAATATTAGGCACCATATCACAGACACTGATAACACGTAGGGCCATGCATCTCAGATTTAACATTGTTAAAAGATGACTTTAAGTTTAACTTTTTGTTAATTCCAAAAAGAGTCGAAATACGCTTTGGGGGCCACAAATTTTGGACGCGAGCACAAACAAGTTCTGTCCACTACAATTAGTTGTAGTTCGTTTTTGATTTTCAGCTAAAAAACCTCTTTTTGACGAAATAATCGACAAAGGAAATTTGAACTTAACTCTCTCCATCTAGCTCTCAGCTCGCGATCGACACCACCTTTGCACACCACATACACACGCGACGTACGTACGTAACAGGCGCGCGCGCTGTTGGCATGGGACCAAGCATGGGACCAAGCATGGGACTCTGGACGCGTACATTTGGAATAAGCATATGGGCCCCATGTGGGTTTTTGGTGGTGAAAATCGCACGTCGAATATCGGCTGGGCCGAGCTAAAAACACAGATGTATACCAGATGGGCCTTCCTACACAGAACCCACAAGTATATGGAGCCTACGTGGCCGATAAAAAAACATTTTGGCATTCCAACACAAAACCCATATACCAACACCGTGCGGGCCCATGTGGGTTTTTTGGTGGTGAAAATTGGACATCGAGCATCGGCCGGGCCCAGCTAAAAACCAGATGTATACCAGATAGGCCTTCCCACCCAAAACCCACAAATATTCCCATAATTTGCATAATGAATATGGGGTGCGTGCACATCAATGTTTTTTTTACAATTTATCTGAATTTACAGGATATTTCCTAATTACTGATGATTTAGTTATATACAATTCATTTCCAAAATACTACAAAATGAAAATTGCTAATTATTAGGACATTTCACTACTTTGTATAAATTACATTTAATTAAACAAGAATTAGGAAAAAACACTAACTATGAACTAAAACCAATTAAATAAATTACAAGTACATGGAAATATCTCGTTCACAGCAAATTAACCATGTCTTCTTAATACCAATGCCTTTACTTTGGAATTTTTAGACGATGTGTTGTTGCCATTGGCAAAATTAATTAGTACAAGTGCTACATAACTTACTAATTAAGTCTGGTAAGTGTATTTGACTGGTTGAAAGTTGTGCCAAATGGTACAACAGGTCCAGTTAAACCAAGATAGGCCCCACAACATTTTGTTATCTGGGCAGGAGCACTGTATAATCAAGGAGATACACAGCAGATAACGATCAACTCACCAAATGTGGTGTAGCAAATGCATGATGCAGCGGGTTAGGCCTTCCCCGTGTTACTAAATGAT